TGAGATATGGTTACTTCCTCTCTATCAAGTGACTTCACCGACGACTTGATAGTATTAAATTGGTGATACAAAATTTCGGAGTCTAAATTGACTACCCAGAGCCTGGCCCACGGGCCTATGTTGGGCGCAGTCTGACAGCTCATAAGGGAGTGCTGTCCGGCTTAAATTTTACCCTTACTTGGAATTGGCAAAATGTGTCTAACAGCGCGAATAGCTTTCGTGTGTGTGGGCAGGCAAACAAGTCTTTTGGCCTTGTGTGATGATGTGGTCCCTCGTACCATCAGAGACCACGCCAAATTGGTGGACGTTGGGATAAATTTTAGAAGATTGGAGTTTGTTAACTCAGGTGTGGGAAGATTGGAGGGGGGAGATCTATCCACCGTGACTGAGAGTTTAGCCATGTTGCCGGAGGTGTATGAGGAACCTTCCCCTTCTGAACTGGAAGGCAAGGTCATCAGCCCCCTCCTTCGGGAGAGTGAGTCAGAAGGGGAGGGGGAGCTCTCACCCCCAGGGGCTGTGGCTCAACTCTCCCCATTGCCATCATCACCTATCCTGGCTTCAGGGGGAGAACCTTCACCGGAAGGTACACCTGTGGTGAAGGTTCTGGACAAAAATACATCTTGTCCATGTTGTGGAACCAGGATAGGAAAAGTGTCGGGACTGGTTGAACATCTAAGGAGGGTGCATGGGAGGAGAAAGATCTTGTTTCAGTGTGCGTTGTGTGGAAGAATGATTGAGAAACATCATAGTATTGCTTGCCACGTTCCCAAATGCAAGGGAGCCATAGAGGCAACTCCAAAAGAAGGGTTGGAGTGTGAGGAATGCGGACGGACATTTGAAACAAAAATCGGACTGGGACAACATAAGCGTTTGGCCCATCCAGTCACTAGAAATCTGGAGGGAATCATGGCCACACGCCCTAAAGAGACTTCCGCGAGAGGGGTACACCGAAAGTGATGGACGGAAGAGGAAGTTGAGATCTTGCAAAAGTTGGAGAAGCAGTATGAAGGAAATAGAAACATCAACAAGCTGATCGCGGAGGAATTGCCCTTCAAGACAGCGAAGCAGATAAGTGACAAAAGAAGGATTCTCAATAAGAGTCCGGTTAAGAAGAGGGAAGAAGATCAAGAGTGGAAGAAACATCTGAGAGAAGGGGAACATCTGGTGAGCATTGGACCCCGGAAAAGAGGTGGGGGGCTGAGGTCCCATTATCGAAAGACTATTTCAAAATGGATAACATCTGGAAAACTGCGCATTCTTCATGCGACATTTGAGAAGGTGATCGAAGGTGGAGAAGATCTGCCAATGATGGTTGGTGGTGCGGTTGAGGACTGCTACGCACGCCTGTTCAGGAGGTCCTCCGAGTTGGAAGCGAGTCAAGGGCAGAAACTCCAGACGGCCCGCACGGCACGCTCTTCAGAACCACTGAAGGAGTGGATGAAGAAGAGGGCCAGGAAGAAGGGGGAGTTTCTACGGTTCCAGCGGCTGTTCCACCTGGACAGGGGGAAACTTGCCGGTATAATCCTGGACGATGTAGAGTCCCTGAAGTGCGGTCTGCCACTTGACGAGGTACACTGTGTGTTCAAGTCAAGATGGGAGTCGCCGGGAACATTCAAGGGCCTCGGAGGTTTCAAGACCCTGGGTCACGCAGACAACTCGGCATTCGAAGCCATGATCACATCGAAAGAAATCTCGAAAAACATCAAGGAGATGAGCAAGAACTCAGCACCAGGGCCAGATGGTCTTAGTTTGAGGGGTCTCATGGCTATTGACCCCCACTATATCATGCTGGCGGAACTGTACAATCTCTGGTTGCTGACTGGTACCATCTCAGACATGGTGAAAGAATGCCGGACCGTTTTAATATCTAAATCAGCCCTGCCGGAGCGCCAGAAGGATATTAATAACTGGTGCCCCATTACCATCGGCTCGACGGTCCTGAGATTATTCTCAAGGATCATCACAGCGAGGCTGACCAAGGCGTGCCCGATCAGTCCACGGCAAAGGGGATTTATAAGATCTGCTGGCTGTGCAGAGAATCTAAAGTTGTTGCAACTTCTGATTTGGAACACAAAGAGAGAGAAGCATCCCCTGGGCGTGGTGTTCGTTGATCTAGCAAAGGCCTTTGGCACGGTGAGCCATAACCACATTATTCAAGTGTTAAAACAAAAGGGTGTGGACAACCACATAATTTCTTTAATTTCTAACATGTATAGCAATACTCATATCGACATGAAGTCTGAACAGTCGGATCCCATCAGGATTCGGATTGGTGTGAAACAGGGTGATCCAATGTCTCCTATACTGTTTAACTTATCTGTGGATCCTCTACTGTGTGTATTGGAGAAGGAGGGGAGTGGGTACCAACATTATTCGATGAGTATAACATCTATGGCTTTTGTGGACGATCTGGTACTGCTAAGTGGGTCCTGGGAAGGAATACGGAGAAATATTGAAATTGTTGAGGCTTTTTGTGATTTGACGGGTCTGAAAACACAGGTAGAGAAGTGCCACGGCTTTTATATACAGCCGACTAAAGAATCGTATACCATCAATGATTGTCCTGCATGGACCATTAAAGGCACTCCCCTCAACATGATTGAGCCAGGCAGTTCGGAGAAATATCTGGGTTTGAAAATTGACCCGTGGGTTGGTATATCCAAAGCGGAACCACTGGCCAAAACGAAAGATTGGCTATATAGGATTGATCGGGCTCTTTTAAAACCTATGCAGAAAGTAGACATCTTGAAAGTGTATACCATTCCGCTCATGATCTACTTGGCAGACCAGTCTGATGTAGAAGTCTCGTACCTTGAAACGTTAGATTTGACAATTAGAACTGCTGTCAAAGAGTGGGTACATTTGCCACCTAGTACCTGTGACGCCATCCTATATTCCAGCACAAGGGATGGCGGTCTGGGACTCACCAGGCTATCGGGGTTAATTCCCAGTGTGCAGGCCCGAAGACTGCACAGAGTTGCGCGGTCTTTGGATAAGGTGATCAGGGAAATTGTAAGTAAAGAGGGTATAGAGAAAGAGTATGAGAAATTATGGTTAGCAGCGGGAGGAAATAAGGAAAAGATACCACCTATATGGGACCTGAGTTCGGTCATGGTGACCACGGAAGTGTTGGGCGGGGTAGATCAATATTCGGAATGCGAAAGGCCCGCTCCTAACACCATATTTCCGAAACCTAGTGATTGGCGTAAGCAAGAATTTATAGCGGACCAAATTAGCTTCCCAGGGCCGTGGGATTACCAACTTTGAGAGGGATAAGATCAGTAACAGCTGGTTAGAAAGATACAGGGGCATTCCTCAGAGAAAGATCGTCACCGCTTTACAACTACGGGCCAACGTCTACCCCACAAGAGAATTCCTAGCGAAGGGTAGGCAAGAGACACATGTAAGATCGTGTCGTCACTGTGGAGTGGAAATTGAGAGCTGTTCGCATATTGTCGGATACTGCCCGGCGGTGGAAGATGCTAGAATAAAAAGACATAACCAAATTTGTGAATTATTAATTGAGGAGGCAAAGAAAAAGGAATGGATAGCATTCCGAGAACCATTGATTCGAGATGAGAAAAAAGATTTAAACCCGATTTGGTATTTGTAAAAGAAGAGATAGCAATAGTAGTAGATGTAACCATTAGATATGAAAGTAAAGAAACATCCCTAGAAGATGCGGCAAAAGAGAAAATTAAGAAATATCAACATTTGGAAGATCAGATTCAGGAACTGACTAATGCAACAACTATTAAATTTATGGGCTTTCCCTTGGGGGCGCGTGGCAAGTGGTACCAGGGTAATTACAACTTGTTAAAGGAATTGGGACTCTCTAGTTCTCGGCAAGATAAAGTTGCACGTTGATTGTCTAATCGTGCATTGTTTTCTTCTGTTGACATTATTCATATGTTTAGTAGTAATGTAAGAACTGTAGAAAATGTTTAATTGTATCATCACATTTTAGTTGTAATATCTGTGCACTGTATTACTTTCAAAAAATAATAAAATGATGGGAAGAGCCGACATGGAAGGATCGTGGGGGGGTTAGATCAGGTGGGAAAGCGATCAGAGTACTGGAATTCCAACATAGTAGGTGGGGACTTGTTCTTTTTATGACTCGTCTTTAAAACCGAAATTGACACTAAATAATTGGACTTGACTAAATTTTCACCAATTTGGACCCAGGTGGACGGGCCACCTTTACTTAACTCGGAAAAGAAACATATATAATTTATATGTATTAACAGTGTGCAGAGATATTTATATTAACTATTATAATATAAAATCTAGGAACAGGCAGAACCATGGCAGTTTATTCTACAGCAAGTGCCCTGCTGTGTATGTTGTCAACCCATAAATCTGATCTGAATTTTAAACTGACACACAGAAGTGCCCCATGACTGGAAGTCACCTGTGTGGGACTAAGAGCAAGACAACTCCTCCCACAGGAGAATTCGTTTGTGCACCCACTCAAGTAGGTAACTGACCTAGTTATATGTAAAATGTAGTAATTCAGACTGCTGCTTCAGAGATTTTAACGGTCTGAGAAAACATTTAGATACAACATCTCTAAACATCAGAAACAGTATTGACTGAGTAGTCAGCAAACCCTATGTGTTTTTAGAAATTAACGTCCTCAGAGCAGCAAATTCGCTGCAGTACAGGAAGGACTACCGGGCTATCAAGCAAACTGCAATTATAGCAAAAAAACAAACCAAACCACAAAACACCCTAGATTGAAAAACAGTAAATACATTGGTGAAAAACATTTAATGGTAAGAATACATACATGCATGCAATTTCAACAAAAAGGCTTGAATAATTTGGATAGTGTTTTGCTTCAGTATCATGAAACTTGAAGTGAAAGGTAATATAGTTCACTGTTTGTGGCTTCCAGATTAAGTCTAAAAAATTACATTTCCCTTTTTTCATGAAACAGTTTTGTTTAGAAAAAGGTACCAGAGCAATAGCATACACAAAAGACAGACATATATATCTATATATACAATTTTCTTTTATTAACAAGGTATGTCATTACTGAACAAGGCAACTGGGAAATACAAGGACAGGACATATACATGAAAATTTTACAACTCGACAAAAAATTGGCGTATGACTTATATACAGATGCAATTAATAAAGGTTACAACTCTACTGTATTTGATTAAACACAGTCCTAAGCATTTACATTATGAAAGTATGAAGCTGATCATACAGAGGTCAAGTTCTGGAATCTAAAAATAACAACAATTTAAAAACTTCAAAACCTTCTATGTCCATCCATTTTACAGAACATCACTACAGCTTCTCCTACCACCATATACATGAAAGATTATCAAAAATATATCAATGGGTCTATCGCTAATCATGAATGTTTATATTTACATTAAGTTAGCAAATTCTTCACCAAATACTTTATATACAAAACTCAATTTGCCCTTTGTGAAAGTCATTAAAAAGTTAAAAACCATAGAAATGCCAGTTAGAAATAATGCATTCCAAAAATTGAACTTGTTTACAACTGAGAACAATTGAAAATAATTTATGAAAAAGTATGTCATTTTAGTACATGTAGTCTCACAACACACTAGTTCCAATACAGAGTAGCGGGAATTGTCCTGTGTGTTCTCTGTGTGGTGTCTTCTCTTCCAATAATGCTGCAAAAGAAAAAAAAAATTATTCTTAAGCATTTTGTTGTGGGTCATTGAAAAAGGCAGAAATAACTCAAATGACCAATTTTCTTTCCCCCCTTCTCAGTGCAGGAAGCCCTGTCCCCATTTGTATTGGCCCAAATACTGAGAACTCTTATTTCTTACTCCTTAGAGGCTAAAAGGGAAAAAAACCAACCAAACAAAAAAAAAACACAAAAGAAAAAAAAAAAAAAAAGAGAAACCCAATGGCCTCTGTACTTTAGTGCTATTCAGAAGGCACACATCCTTTTGCCAGCAGCGTTTTTGAGTATGATCTTGGCTGATCTTTTTATTTGACTATAATGCTTTTGCAGCATGCTTTGAACACCCCTAACAAAATTAGTCTTCTCTGCCAAACTAGAAACCCCTCCAACCTGTCTCTCAATTGAAAAAGAGCTTAGACAGGAACCAGACGTTCGCTCTGCAGGCACTTCTTCTACACAGACACGAGCACCTAAGGAATTCTGTAATACAAAACATGGATGCTGAATGAATCTACACATACTAAGGATTAGACAGCTACTGAAACACGGACTCTCTTGGAATTATGTTCCACTCCATCCGAGTACCAGAAATCAGATTGAGAACACAGAAGCACAGTTTACAGTGCTTCCAGTATGTGAGAAAATAGCAGATGGATCAATCACTAAGGTCTCTGCTCACTTCAAGTGACAAGCGTTATGAAAACAATGCTGTGGCTCTTCACTGAGTCAAATCAGTACAACACAGTTGTTCATAATGCCCCACAATAACTTTGTCGAAGTGCTGACACCATGTATCAAGCAAAATTAGATCTTGCTGTCAAATCCAAATGAAGTGGATTGAATTTCCCTTTTTATCTCTAGAGATGCTGAACGCATCCTCTATACTTGCTGTATGGAATCCCTATCTTCCAATTCCAAAGTCTCTCCATGTGCTATTATCTCGCCAATGTGCTATTCTTACTTATTCTTCAAACTCCATAATGACCAACTCTTAACATGTTCTTTGTAAAAAATAAGGATGGAATGTCATCTCAATCACCTTTAATCTATGCAGCCACACTCCTAGTCCTGAAATCTTGTCCCCTCTTGTTTCAGACAGCCCTCCATTCTTTGGCTTTCCTCCTAAGTGACCACTCTAACTTGTCTTTCAGGTCATCTTCCCTACTTCTCTCAAATCAAGCTCACTGGGGAAAGGGGTATAACATCTTTGGCCTTCTGTTTTCTCTATCCTGCTCCTAAGTAACTTTATCTAAAACACAAAATCCAGTTATCTTCTCTATGTTGATTATTTCACATATATCAGACTCTTTCCTCTGACCTGCTGCTTCTCTCTACACATTTTCACACCTGTTCACGTAAATCTATTTAGCAATGCCTCCTTCTCCAAACTCAAGCACTTTTTACCACAGATTTGCTTGACAAACTTTAGCAATCTCAGCTTCCTGCTAAGGCTACAGACCAATGACAAATGCTCAAGTCTTCAAATCTTTCTTGTCCCTGCATCTTTACATGTAATAACTGCATCAGGATTTTGCAGGTTTTCTGCAGCCTCTTTCTAAAGACATGTTCTGCTTAGTTCACTTCTATGCCTAAAACTGTAATCCAGGCCCTGAGCCCTTTCCTTTTAAGTTGTATTAGTCTTCTGATTCAGGTCACTGTACGTTTACACAAACAGTGCTGCTGGCACAGCTAAGGGTGACATGCGGGAGCAGAGAGTAACTGAAGCTACATCAGCAGCTCTGCTCATGCGTGTGAGACCACAGTTTATCCCTCTCCCCTTCATTCACAATCTGTGTCTGATAATATCTGGTCTGGGTTTACTTTTATAGCTACTTCCCATCTCATACTTCGTAAACTCTCTAGAGCCAGGATTTTGTAATGTAATTTGTACAGTACCTGGAACTGCAATATTTACAGCAATAATTTAGGATTGCAGTGATATGAATGTTATCACAGACACAAAATCTGTACAGAAATTCACTCATTAACAGAATAACTTTAAGGTGTCTCAGGTCTTACCAGTTTAATTTGTGCTCTGTCGCTGGACTTTTGGTCCAGAAACGGTCTGAGTTTCTTCTTCTGGATTTGGGCGTTTCCCTGCACTAATGCCAGTACCAAGGGCCATTCTTCCTGATAATTTAAAACCAGTATTTACATTAAGACTCTAATGCACCTTTATACATTCAGGAAAAGCATTTCATTTTTTTTTGTTGTTCTTTAAAATTACCTGCTTGTAGTAAGTGTGGTTGCTGATTGTCTCCATGAGCATAGTGTAAGATACTACTGGCTTGACAGTAACCTGTTCAGATACAGTAGATATTTATTATAGTAAACAAAATTTAGAACTTCAAGCAAGTGTACAATTACATTCTTTGCAAAAACAAAAAGGAGCCAATTGATTTATTTTCCATCATCAAGAAAAATCATGCCAGAAACCATCCTCAACGCAGAAGTGTTGTTATACAAAATAAAGGCTCATGGCAGTATACCACAGTTAAGTATATATGCATTTATATATGCACAGTGAACAGTATTAAGTACGTACATATTTGTGCACTACACTTGTAACAAGTAGAATGTTTATATACCCAAATACTTTAATTCTAAGTTGTTATAAATTTTAACATTTGTCCTGCCAAGTCTCCTCATCCTTTTTATTATTCTGTTATAACAATACTCGTGAATTCTTAGCATAACTAAGCTGTGGAAAAAAAAAAAAAATGCAAGTAACTTAAAGATGCAAACTATTTTCCGGTTTGCGTGAACTACCCACTGGCAACCTTGACACTGAGTGCTCTGCATAAACAGTGTAAATTAGCAAAAGCAGTTGCAAGGTTTCTTATTCTGAACCGTTGTAGTGTTCTCCTTATGTCCTGGATGGTTAAACAAAACACGGATTACAGTCTTTCATGATCAGTAAACATACAACCACTGTTAAGACTGAAAAGAAAGAAACAGGTGTGCTAAATTTGATTGCAACTTTGATCTATCACAAACCACAGCTTAAGTTTCTGTAAAGTAACAAAAATTTGCCTCCACAATATGAGAATATCCACACAAAACTGTGGAAATTTATTATGTATGGAGAGAGTGGTAGTGAAATCAGGGAAAAGATAACATGCAAATTTTGCTATCAAATACACAAAGTAAACTTATTTCTTTTGGTATCTTTCATTTAAAGTAACCTAGGATAACGTATATTAATTTTTGTTTAGCCACACTTGTGATTTCCCCCCCCCCTCAAAACATACAAATACTGTTCTAGATGAGCATTTTAGAGATAAAAGTGACAAGACAAGCAAGTTCACTCTGAGAAATAATTTTTATCTTTCAAGAACAGAAGCAAGGCCAGTTCAGGTTGCAGACAGCAGCTGTCACCAACAATATATCCATGTTATTTTGATATTTTGTCTGGTTTTCCATAGTTGCAAGGATTTGAAGATCCTCGACAGACAGGCACTGCCATAATACCTTGCTGCTGAATTCCACTTGCTCCTGTTTGAGGTTCCCCCAGGGCACACGGCTGAACAACTGTATGACCATCACCAGCTCCCAGCTGAGCTCCTGGAGAGGCAGGAAAAAGACTTAAACATAACAGAAGATACAATTCCAGTTCTGGAATTTAAAATGTTGGTGTTTTTTCCCCTGTTCATGAGGTAGACTTTGACTGTGGCTTTTTTTTTTTTTTCCCCAAACCACCTCAGAACAGGGTCCAAAGCTCTAATGCTTTCCTATTTCCAAATTCACACTGGCAAATTCAGATAAGTACACGGTAACCTCCTATAAAATGGATAAATTTCTCATGTGAAAAGTGTAAGTACATGTATACATTTAAGTATATACACATACATTTTAAGGAGAAGAGTGCACATAACGTTAATTTTTTTAAACTAGGCCCTCCCTGTCTTATAAATCTCTGAACTTAAAAGAAATAAAAGCTCAAGCACCCAGCTTTAAGGTGTTTAGACTTTAATTTTTCAAGAGGAACTGTACTGGCTGAGAACAATAAGGTCCTTCTTCCTCTGTAATCTACTTCTAACCTTGATTAAAGCCTAAGGAGAACACAAAAGCAGTAAATTTCCAGTTGTACTGTATCCTTTTATAATGATGAGTCAAAGCTGTACATAGTATTCAAGATGTTAATGCACCATAGATTTATACAACGTTAATACTGTTTTTTTTTTTTTTTTCTTAGTAACTAATTAATGCCAGTCTTTGTATGTTACAATAAGAATATTAATAGTCTAAAGTAATTTTCATCGAAACTGTATAAATTCTGTATTAAGTTCTTGCAGACACTGTCCGCCATACTGCTGTTGACATTATGGTAGAATTAAATTCCAGTAAGCAATCTAGTGTTAGCATTAGAAAACTTTACAAATTAACAGTTCTGACTTGAAAATTCATAAATCACTCCTTATTACAAATATAAAAATGCTTTTAGACTTCTAGAAGAAAATCACATTCAGATACTTTTGAAATCAAGCCGTTTGATACATGTTAATAAGTAATTTTCAGGGGGAAAATCAAGTTAAAAAATTCTTACATGTTTGAGATGAAAAAAGACCTGGAGATGTCTATATACAAATACTAATGTAGTGAATAAATTTGAAAATGTTTGTGACTTGCACTGAAAACTGTCTTGTGAAAAGAGTTCGTTCTTATAATACATAATGCCAACAACATTATAAAAGAAGTTTGTGTGGTTCAGTTTCAATCATTTTATGTATTGAAAGATTTTCACTGACCTCCTGTACCACCACAACCAGAAATGCTTTCTCCTGGTGAATAGCCCATTAGGCCACCATTTCCATTTCCATTTGGATTAGAAGGCACTGTTGCAAGAAGACCTAAGCAATGAAATAAAATATATAACCATAAAAACAGACAGGAAAAAAGAAAAAAAATAAGTGTACCATGATGATTTTTTCCTCATGATAGCAAATTCTCCACCCTCTCCCTGAGTGGTTTAGCTTTATTAATAGAACATCTCTCTGTCTCGCCCACTTCTGGCATCTTGCCAAGTAATTTTCGTTCACAATTGCTTATCAGGCATTTTCTACATAATATTCTGCATAATTTTTCCAATATTAATTACATGTATTCACTATGTCGTATTAAAGTGCAATACACCCCGATTCAATACCCAATATCTGAACGTACTGACTGCTTACATCTTCCTGAGCAATGCAAGTGCACACAGCTTACCTCGCAGAGCAAAGGGGATGGTTTTACCTAAGCAGCAAGAATGGTGCTACCAGAGGTTGCACTGGTCTCTGAGCAACAGCATTTGCAAATGTAAATACCAGATGGTATTAAAACCTATTTGGTACAAGAGCATGAGAGTGCACAGAAGACCCAGTTTAACCAAAAAAATTCCCCAAACCCACCCAAAAATTTCCCAATAAGATTTAGAAGAGGCACTCAAACTTCTTCCCCCCTTTCTTAGTTACATCTAATGTTTTCATTTATTTGAATACACAACCCTGGGTCACCACACTGAGCTCACACCTGACTACCACTGCTTTGGGGCAAAATTATTAATTACTAGAAGGTGAAAGAGGTTTTCAAATAAATAAAGCCAAAAGTCTATAACCATACCCAGTCCTCTGTATCGTGAAAGCTGCTGGTAGATTTGTTTCATCCTCTCAATATTCAGACGGCTTGCCTCTGCATGATTTACCATTGGTTTGGGATAATTAACTCCTATAATACATTTTGCAGCCTTCTGAATGCTCTCTGGGGCATTCCAAGGATCATAGATGTATTTTGCAGGGAAACCTCTAAGTACTGGCAAATAACGTCTTAAAAAAAAAATAATAAAAAAGTCATTTTAAATATAAAGCCACTTGACAGTTTAAGCAACATCCATGAATCACTGCAATTTCTGGATTGTGAGTTACCTGATATAATCTCCGTTCGGGTCAGTTCTTCTGCCAAAACCCACCGGGCAGTAGCAGTGAAAAAACTGCTGAAAGAAGGAACTACAGGAAAGCCACATCCAGCTTCCAGCATTCACACTCCAATCTGCATCAAGCAAGAGCTCTTCAAAGACCTTAAGAAATTAGAGCAACAAGTTAGTCTAAACAGGGCACACTTTCAAGACACCCACTTTCTCAGGAGTTGTTCTGAGTTTCTGATTTCAGCAAAGGGAGCCCAGCTCTTCAACACAGCAACACCCTTTCTTACCTGGCAACGTTCACAGAATGCTCAGTATGCAACTGCAAATACTTACCTAAATGCCAAACTCAAGAACAAAACTTGATGGCCTGTTTGGCTTTTACCCTGTAAAAAAACTTGTAGACATCTCAGAAAGCTACAACCAAAAAGTTACACATTCTTGCATAAGTACATTCTTAAAAAAATATATTCCAAAAGGATGTCTGGAGCCTGTCTGCTTGCAGGTGATATTTGTTGCTTTCAGAAGAGTTGCTTCATCACATTACAACTGAGTAAGCTTTGCAAACTTCCAGAAGACAGGGATCATACAAAGCACATTTCAAGTCTGAATACTGCAACTTGCACTATGCAAGAAGCCCCAAGGAAGGGTAGAATTCAAGAGTTCCAGGGTAGCACAAACATCCAGAAGTTGTATTCTTGAAGGCCAGTAGTTAATCTAGTAAATCTGTTTTGAGGATGCACACTTCAACTCCTGGAGGTACATGAACCACCAAGCATGCTGAAGAATGGTGGGACAGGTAATGAAGACAAGAAAGTCTTCTCTATTAAAAATAACCCATAAGGGTTTTACTTTAAACCTGGAGCTCAATAGTTATGAAACATTCAAGCTTCCAGCACTGATTGTTTTTTAATGAACATAGACAATACTAACTTACATAAAAAGAAGCTTCTCTGGACAGTCAGATCACTAGCAATACAAGCTAACAGGAAATAAAGAGAAGCTTATTCTTTGAAGAACATTTAAGTACCTTTTATAAAAAGAATGCACTGAGAAGTAGTTTTCAAAACAGATTCATATTTAATGTGTATTTTTGCAAGTTCTGATTTTCCTTTTCAAACTTGCATTGTCTCCAAATATTCCAAAGAAACCATCACCTTTCTTCACGATAAGATGCTAAAACTTAACATCTTACTACTGCCACCCAACTTCAACTAATACTATTCCAATACAAAGTCTGAATATGTTAATACCATTAAACAAGGATATCCCTCTCTCTATATGTATTCAATAAGGCGTTCATGCTACAGTATACACTGAGTAAGTGTTAAAAAAGTGTATTTGTCTAAATATCTGCAACTTTTTGGAGAAAAAAAGGTGTTTTGAAAAAATAAAATTTATCTTAAAACAACTTTAAAAACGTTATAAATAGAAAGTGACTTTAGATGAACATTAAGTGTTAGCACACAACTGTTCCACTAGATGCTGCCATGTCATAAGACTTTGGATATAACATCACCTTGGAAGGCCAGGTTAACTTTTGCTAGCTATATACATATGAATTAAACATCCTTCTACTGCACAAGTCTGGGCTCTCATATATCTGTATTATTTCAAAAGTAAGAACAAGCTGGTGTTTATCTGAATGTCCTGGGTTTGAGTGAGTGGTGAGGTTTTTGGTATACAGCTTTGTTGTTTGGCTGAGTTACCTATGTATGTGCAACTTCAATGCCTTTATGAACCACAAGAGGAAAATTCCTAAAGCTGCTTATGATGTTGTGTAACCAAGATAATTTTTTTTTTTTTAATCAAGTGTGTTTGCTTACAACCAATTTGTTAAGAAAGGTGAAATTTTGTAAGATTATATACATATATGAGGTCACAATCCTGATGGTAAATTCTTTTTTAGATTTCAAAATAAAAACATATTTTTAATTATCATTGCTCTGTAAAAGATGTGCTACCCTTCTAAAATGTAAAACTGATTCAAAGGCTGAGATTAAATTATTCCATTCTTTTCTTCAAAAGACTGACTGAAACTTCTATCAAATCATGTTGCCCACACTCACACTTCTAACATAAGGTGAAGGGACAGAAATTGCTGAAAAGACATTCTTAGCTTTTAGTTTTTTCCCTTTAATTCCCATGGCGCTTTCCCTTCACGGGGTAAGATGTGAACAGAAAGTGTTCACACTGTATGACTGCAAAGAAATTTCAATTACAAGAGTAATCCATGCTTATTTGCCAAGATTTAGGAAGAAATCTCAAATTTAAAAGAATTGCAGACCTATTCTGACTGCAAGATACACATTAATATTCCAATAAAAGGGGGCACAGAGGCAGAACTTCCGCACCACTGGTTTATCAGAACTGATTTAATTTCGGCCAGTTTAAGGTTTAAAATTCAACTTATATCACACAGTAACAACAGTTCTAGAATGACTATCTGAAACCTCAACAGACCCTGTACGAAATTAAAAGATGAGAAACAATACCTTCATTCCTTCTTCCCAGCTAATCCAGAGGTCACCTCGAGTCAAAAAGCATGCCACAGCATGCCGGGCTAAATGGTGAATCCAGCCTTCTTGACGAAGCTGCGTCATAATCGCATCGATCCAAGGAAAACCTGTCCTGCCTTCTGCCCATTTGGCCAAAGCCTCAGGATTCTTATCCCATGGAATTTGAACACAAATAGGATTCCCCTCCATTTTATCAAACCGTGGATTGTTAGTCGCTGCTGTGTAGAAAAATTCACGCCATAACAGCTGGCCATAGAGGGAGAGGGGAGGGGAGCTGTTCTTTTTAACCTGAAGATCATCAAAGGAAAACATGTTACTAGGAGAACTAGTAGGGAAAAATCATGGCATCTAAGAATGCTGACTATGCAGAAATCTTACCTTTTTGTACAGATCTGTTAGCTTGAAATAAAAGAGACGACATGACAAGCAGCCAAAGCGGAGGTAGGGACTAAGCCCTGTAGGGCTTGCCAGAAGGGAATTTGCATTCATTCGTGGTCTTTCAAAGTTTGCTACCCAAGCCTTTAAAATAAAATAAAATAAAATAAAAAAAAACAAACCACAAAACAAAAATCACACATCAATATCAGGCTGTAGGCTAGGTAGCAACTTGTAAACATAAAGGGAGAAATCACACACTGCCTATAACTGAATCCAGACACTGGACAGGTGATCACATTACCTACAGTATCTTGGGGATCCTTCTGAATCAGCAGGATCTCTAGAAGGTAATTCATCTCAATGCAGAAGGCATAAGCTGTCATCCAGAGCTACCTGTCCCTTTCTTTTAAATACAGAGTAAACCCAGACAACTAGCAATATGTTAACTTTTAGAGGAATTCCCCTTCAAAATTATAAAACGTATGTTTCAAGTAAAATTACTTCCAAAGAAAAAAAAAATTGAGTAGAAAATAGTATAACAGACTTTCTCTAAAACTCATATTAAAGACAACCTGCTATCATCTTTTAAAACTAAGAAACAGCAACCTGATTTATTTCATTGTATGAAGGTTTTCTTTTTTTAAAACAACTTGCCCAATTCCTTTTACATTTCATTGCAAAGAACAACTATTTCCCAGGTATGTCATACATGAAATGACTTGAAACATACCTTTCGTTCTAAATGTCTTTCTAATCGTGTGAGAGCTTCTGTTTCTCCCCCTGGCCATACTGCAGAAGGCAAACCATCTGTGTCAAAACCTGAAAAACAAATTGAAACAAGGATATTCCTTGTTTGCTTATACTGTAGGGCAACAAAATTCTAGCATATTGATACTTGATTACATTTTATTTTATCCTGAAAACAACCCCAAGTTGGACACATGGCAAACATAATATAACCAAGTCTTATCAAAGCACATTCAATACCTCCAACTTGCAGCAAAATCCAATTTTTACTTTCACATTAATCTACATTGCAAGTTTTACATGCTGAATGGTCTTACTTCAATTCTCCTACTTTTTTTTTTTTTTTGCACAGTGACCTTTCTATCATTTTTCAAAAAGTTAAGTTCTCAGCTCTGTAATACACAGGCTATCCCAAAACCACAGCTTTTTTTTTTTTTTCCAATTACTCATAAGAAATAACAATTGCTATTGTAATTTACAGAATGTCTAAAACCTCCTTCTATCAAGTAAAATGCATGAGTGCGATCATCAGAACGTTCCTAGATTTCATTGACCTTGACTTAAACAACATATGGGGATTATTGTCAATTTTATGATAAGCACACAGTGAAGCTGCAAAAGAAAGATGAAAAGAAGGTAACAAGATTTCTTCCACACACCCACAACTCTATCAAGATTGTTCACCAAATGCACGAGATAACATGTCTGTCTATAGTTTAACCACTGTATAGTGCTTCTCTTCTTAAAAAAAAAAAAAAGGCTTTAACAGCAAGGTCTGTTGTATGAGAGAGTTCAACAAGACTAGACAGATAAGCCAGAGCTTAGCCAAAATCTGTCCAGATCCTTTTGTTAGCAATTTGGAGGTCATATCACATTTGTTTGTATTTCAGGGCAGAGGGGAACAGGAAAGAGAGGAGGGACAGGACAGGACAGCAGCTTGATACTATTTCTTGAGATTAAATTTACAGAAACCTAATACCTCTTTTTTTTTTTTTTTTCAAGAAGCTTCTAAAATAATTATTTGCCTTATTACCTTTTTTTTTTTGGCATTGCAAGACAAGTGGGGTTTTAAAATTAATTTTTAAAGTGTCAGATTAATGACCTGAAGCACAAAAATACCAAATGTATTTAATACAAAATGAAGTATCAAAGACTATTAGTAGCTTAATGATTATTTGGTACCATGGGAAAATGCCTACACTATATTACAGGAAGCCCAACAGTACTTAGTGTAGTTTGATCTATCCAACCTCCCATTTAAAAGAAAGCAACTAAAATTTAGAGTTGATTATCCTTTTTTGCTCATTTTGTACGTCATAACTGGCATCAGTTTAACAATTAACCGTAAGCAGAGCCTCTCTCATGGTTATTTTAAGTATTATGCTTTTAGTGGTAAATTACATGCTACATGTTTCACAATGTCAAAGCAACCTTAGATCATACCTAGCTCTTCGAGTGATGGGACACCGTACTTCTCGTCGTGGTCATCAGAAACTGGAGTAGTACATTTTTCCATTACTTCTGGGGTTATAGTCTCCACCGGCATCTCCAGTGGTTCCATTCTACTAATTAGGGTCTGGAATCTTTTGTAAGTAAGAGGAGGCTGTCCACCATTTAACTCTATTATTCTGGATTGAAAAAAAAGAGACAAAAAGAAAAGCCATATGTCTGACAACAGATTTTAACATTTTTTTTATATTTATATATAAATATACACATCTCTACACACAGAAATATCTTACCTGCCTCTAGCACGTTATATAAAATCACAGATATACATGGTAATTCAGACAGTCTGAACTTTAACTTTACCATTACTTTTTCCCTACTAGGGACATATACTAATTAACTGTTTATAACCAAGTCAATTATTCTTCACTCCTGGGTTGAGAAATGTTCCTCAAGAGCAAGTAATGAATATGGACAACTCAAAGCAAAGAAAAGTACAGATTAGCAAAGCAGATGAGAAATCCTAGCTACATAAAGATACATCCAAGTCACCTACAAAACCATGATATTTGCATAAAAAAAAAAAAAAAAATCTGTTTTTTCTATTCTGGTATTGAAAACAGTAGTCAATATTACAACTGTCTTACTACGGTGAAAAATTAAGGTGTAGTTAATACACAATGACTGTTGTAAAAACACATAGTTTCCATGTTTTGCATTGTTATATATCTGAAATCTCTGAAACAGGAATACTTCAAGGAAATAATTTACAAAGTGGTAGATGGAATCAACTGTTCTTTTTTTTGGAGGGGGGGGCGGGGAGTGGTGCTTGGGCAAGGATGGAAGAAAAGGAATTTTCAAAACAGTATTTAATTATCTTTCTTCCCATATGTCTAGCTGTTTCTTACACATTGGATTGTAACAAAATAAAATAGGCATCTACCAAAGTAAATTACTCAACGTTAAGAGAAGTCAGGTCATGCTTCTGAATAGTTTGCAGATTATGTTTCTATAATAGGGAGCTAATACTAATCCATTTAACTAGATCTGTGGAAAAATATAAACAAGATGTTAAGTAAGGCATCGCAGGGATATCAAACAATCCCCGATTACTTCCTGGATACATAACTGATAGGAAACACTTCTTGAAAAATAAAGGACTTCCTGCTAACTTGCACAGAGCAAGTCAAATAAGGACAAAACAATCTAACAAAACAACTAAACAACAACAAATCTTATTTGGGAGAAGTTATAGACATGCTTGAGTAACTTCATTATAAAAAACAGATAATTAACATAACCATTATTTTCAAAAGAACCCCAAATGAAAACTATATTTCAGATACAGTTATGTATCATTTTTTTGGAGTTGCAGAGTACTTCTCAGTATGTACTAAAATTTGGATGGATGGATAAAAGAGAAGCATAAAACAAATTTGTAGTCTTCCTAACTATAAAGTACTCTACGTAGGAAGTAGTGCATAGTATCTAACCAGATACTACATAAAATTCATACTTTTTTTTTTTCAGATTTAATATCAGAGGTAACTTACTTGTCTAGGTCATATAATGTATGGGAAATTCGAACAATGACCTCCACTCCAGCTTCACTAGCCAACTTCTTAATTGCTGCATCTCTTTCCTTTCCAAATGGTTCAGAATCATATTCAATAGAAAGTTTTGCAATATTCCATTCCTGCAACACAGAACAAAAATGTGGTCCTTCAGCAACTCAGTTGCTTGATGAAGCGTGAGGGAAAGGAGAATGGGAAGGATAGGGACAAGATGGAACACCAGCTGTTACCTGCAGATAGTTGTCAGAGATACACAAAGGTCCCAAATACATTTAGATGCCCAGGCTCACAAAAATAAAGTCCAATGTTTTGGCATTTAAGTAGGAATCAGGCATTTAAAAAGCCTCTATCTGTCCCATTACTGTGAGTGCACACAATAATGGCACAACTGAACAAATTTTGAGAGCTCAGCTCTAACTTTAGGATCCATATACCTTAATAGACACAACTGAATGGAAAGATGACAAAGGCTGTCTTCTGGACATTCAGCAGCAGCAGTATCTTGCTCTGCAGAACAGCTTTTCACATATGCCTGTTAACTTTAACAGCAGAACTGAAGGGACTGGGGAATGAGGAACAAAAACTCCAGCTCCCTCAAACCAACCACCATATACTTTCCCTCCCTTTCCCAAACCCCCACCCTTCACCCACCAGAACAGAAAATCTTCAAATTCTCAATAAATAAATAAATAAATAAAATCTGTCTCCTAATAATAGGACATCTTCAAGTCCAATATCCTTTATGACACAGATGCTGTTCACCAAGGCCAGACATAACAGGTGGGGGAAAAGCATTGAAGAAATGGATCAACTAATGGCTGGGGCTTCCACAACATTAGGGAATTGGAAAGGTGAAATATACACAGAATGATCCTAGAAAGCCATCCTGCCAATCAAACTCAGAGAAATACCCTTCTCTAATCCCTCAGTCTTAATCAGTTAATATAAATTCATCAGCTAGACTATTTCAGAGAACTGGATTTACACCAGAGGGACAAGGGGCACTCTATGCTTTTACCTACGGTGCTGTTTCACTTCTGAACTCTAGCACTCTCCTAGATGAAGCCCAGATACATCCCTGAAGATAGGCAATTCCAAGGAATGCTTGCTCTTTGAAAGAAGACTTGGCTCCTTCCATCCTTAAGTCTGCCAAGACTGATCGAGAAGGCCTGAATCCTCAAGCAACCTCCTACACCCTCATACAACATTTATTTCCCATTTCATAATGTAAAACCACTGTCTGACAAGTTGCAACAGACATTTTTCTCAATCTTTCTTTCCTCTGGCATATTATAAAAAAAAAAAAAAACAAACCAAAACCACAACATGAAAGAAATGTGTCCAAGAGCCAGAGTCACATCCCCAGGGGAGCCAAGTAACACTGAAACAAGTACCACATGATGCGAATACACCCAGATCACATCAGCATGAGCTAGGCACTTAGAAGCAGCATGGAGACAACTCTGCACAAACTGCTGGATGTTCATAGCAACACTGATGCATTTAAAGAATTAAAGATTGTTCAAATTCTATTTTCTTTATCAAGTCAGTCCCAAAGAGCTAGGGACACAAAGTAGATCAGGAAAAACTGAAGATAATGAGGCAAGAATCAACCAAGACTTGACTGGTTAACCAATAGGTGCCAAGTGGGTGCCAGCTACTAGTGGAAGTTGCATCTCTGCAGTCAGATGGAACCTCCATCCTCAAGTTACTTAAACCCAAACAAACAAAAACCAAACAAAAAATCCCAAGCAAAAGAAACTAAATAATTTTGCGAAGACCTGCAAAGTCTACTGGCAAAAATATTCTGTCTCTGTGCACTAATTCAGAAGATGAGAGCCTACTGCTGCTATCAGCAGCACTGTTAGCTAGTATTGTTTAAAACATGCGACATTGAATTTAGTGTCTTAAGGGAAGCAAAGCTGCTCTGAAGGACTGGAAGGAAGAAAACAAACAGTCATATATAGATATATATGTACGCACACACACACATATACATATACACACACATACCCTCCATGTGAATGAAAGAGCCTACAGGTCCTTGAGGCCTCTTACAAGGATAAAGATAGATCAGTGCTCTGTCTTTTGAAGGAATTGTCTTTCAGCCTTTGAAAAGGAGAGTCCTACCAAGAAACAGTTGTGAAAGATTCATCCCCAGGAAATCTACTGATGCTAGCACCTGTGATAGGGCTCCTGACACAAGGCTCTACAGAAGTTCTACTGTCTCCTACCATTATTTACTTAAAGTTATCTTCTGCCAGCCAGAAGAAATCTACATGTGTTCTTCAGGGTCAGGATCATCGCTCACCTTTGAGACATTTAATGAGGATGATCTGAAAAGCTTGGTTCACTGTTATATGTCCTTCACTGCACTGCAAGCGCCTGATGTACAGCTCCTGCTCTAGCAAAAGAGGCTGTGAGATTACTGATGAGATAGATCCATGTTCCAGGTAGTCTTAAGCCAAAAACTGAAGAGGTCTAAGAGCTTTAACAATGCCTCTTATTTGTTCAAGGATAGAGGATGTCCTGAAAAGCCCCTCAGTGAACCAATATACGATAAAGACACTTTTTGGCACTCTGAATAATCAGAAGACATAGACAGATGTGAATGGTCTTTTTTGATTGCTGTACACTATGTAGATGACTGACAAGTTACTTTTCGTTATCTTCTCAGCACTAAAATTAATATTCTAAAAATGTGGTACTCCAGTGCTCTTAAGCATAGAAAGATCAGCCTAGTAGCAAGATCTGAAAAAAAGAGTTGGAATTAGCCATTAAAGTACTTGGAAAACTTGTCACAGGTCACTTAAATCCAGAAGGCAACACACACAACAGCGAGATCTTTGCCCGTTTAAATGCAATCAAACCAAATTTGGCAGGCAGATATAACAAGCTTGAATATCTGGAGGGTTGCAAGCCGCAGAAAAGACCAATGAGGGTATCATCCAGTTAGCATCTCACAACTAAAGCACAAGAATGCAGATGGAAATGTGAGCTTTGGTTGAGTTTCCAGGTTGGTGTTGAAGGCTTGCAAATAAAAATTTTGAACAGATGATCTCTTTGGAAAAAGAGGTATTTCTTTTTTTTTCCCCAGTCTTGCTCATCTCAGTAACCTCAATACAGTCATTTCAAAAACTTTTAAAATCAATCTGCAAAGTGTTCATTTTTACTATCTGATTATAGTACTGTTACCTTAAATACACTATTATCCATGGAAGACAGTGTCAGTGGCAATCCCTCACAGCTTTAATTTGCTCAATAAGACAACCCTTTCCCACAAAAGCCTTAAACATCTTTGACTAGAAATTGCTTTTTACCTGCACTAAGCTTTTACCAAGTCTACTACTGGTAAAAAGCTTATTAAATCATTTTTTAATGGCCAAAAAGCAACTGCAACAGATATTTGGGCTAAATTAAACACTGCTTTTACAGGTCAGGCTCTGAACCTGGATTCATGTGCACAGAATTGTATTTCAGTATTTCAAATGGAACCTGGAAACGAAAATTTAGTAATATATGGTACCTAAACTTATCAAACCATTAAAAATCAGTTTCATTCTGGAAAGAAAGAAATTAAAAACTGTAAAGTCTAAGGACAACTCAGTTCAGCTGGTGATATGCACATGAGAGGGGGAAAACCCCAAATCTAACAAAAACAACCTCAAAAAGAAAGTACAAATACAGTTAAGTATTTGCATGGATAACAACTTGCACTGAAGTATATAGTACAAGAAATATTCCTAGTTGAAATTAGTTTGCTGATCAAATTTATGTATAGGAACACAACTGCAAGGTGGCATTTACCTTAAAAAGTCTGGGGAAAACATCTGCTGGCTGTCCACGAATAACAAACAAACGTGAATTCAGTTTCCGTAGATTGGCATCAAGATCCTCAAGACATTGAAGCAGGAATCTGCAAGGAATTGTAAAGAAGCATTTACTTCCCAAGGCAAACCAGACAAGTATAGAATAGGAAAAGGAAACTAAGAGGAACTATCCAACAAATATCAGATCTTCAGTGTTTGGAGTGTATTTTGGTGATGCATGCATGTTCACATCCTAATTACACTTATTTTACAGTAGTTCAATACCGTATAATATATTCAACAATACATAATTCAGAAAACCAAACTGCGCTGTCATTTAAGTTTTCACCTCAACACTATTCATCTCTGGTATGGACTGAAACACGATCAAGTTTTAACTAAAACTAGAAATATCTTGTCACTCTAAAGAAAAAAGCACACTACAGAAGAAAAAAAAAAAGCCACAACCAAAAAAACAAAAACAACAAACAATCACTTGTTGGCATACTGCTAATAAACTTGATCCGAGTTCTTACAACAGCAGCTTGAATTGTTACTAAAACCAGCATACCAGAAGACTGTATGGTCATAGCTATCCCTTTGGCCTTCATTTATAAAAATAGCCTTCTATATAGCAAACAGTTGCATACATCTTGGCTGTAACCTCACCTGAATTATGTAATGAGCAAATCAGCAAATAAGGACTTTTTTTTTATTTAAAAGAAAGGGAGGTGGGGGAGCGGGGAAGGGAAACAGGGTGCTGCAAATCTGCAAATTTTCAAGAGAAGCAGGTAGCTGCACAAAGGATATTGAGACAGGTTCTCATGTCCAAAGATTTATTAGTGAGTACAGTAACTAAAAGTAACTCCAATGGTGACAGTTTTTTAGGGGAATAAATGAAAAGAAAAGGAAGGAGAGAAAAACTGGAAACTCTCCCTTGAGGCCAGCCAGAGAGAGAGAGGGGCTGGAGGTCCCCAGAAGTGTCCTTCCCCTAGACTCCTCTTCAGTGTGACAAATGGCTCCACCACAACATTTTCCCATGCAGTAACAGTACAGTCTTCACCAGGAGCTGCTCAAACCCTGTCAGCTGTTCTTACAGTGCTGTCAGCACTCACTGAAGTGTGTGCTGACCAGGGCAGCCACTGAGTCAGAGCCTGCTGTCATTAACCTCTGTGCACACACATTATTGGATCCCCTGCCACAAATCAAAAGCTACACCCGAAGGGGGGGGGGGGAAAAAAAAAAAAAAAAAAAAAAGCCAGATTCCCACACTGCAGGGCATTATTCCTGAGAGAGCTTGCTGTAATGACACAGTGTGCAGGTGCGAGGTGAAAGGGTAAGAAAGTAAGCAAGTCCGAGAGGAAGCCAGTGAATGAAAGTGCTTCTTGGCTGGCAACTATGCTTATGTTTAATGACTGGAGCAAGCCAAAAATGTCTAATTCTCTCACTTTGCTAAATTTCTTCTTGAAAAAAAAAAAAAAAAAAAACCTCCAGAGTAGCAAGATCATGAAGGATATGATGTATCTAAAAAGAAACTTCTGTATACTCATTTAGTTAGAAAGTAACAGGAGTAATGAATTCCACATGCTTCTGTCTGAGAGAACTTGGGCCCCAGGTTCCCAGGCCAAAGTCACTTTCAGATGGACTCTGGAAAGTAAAGCTTTATTTAATAATTTTTTTGAGACATGGAATGAAAGACCTTATCACTAATCTTATCCACCTGAATCTTGCTTTCAAGGAGTATGTGCCTTCACTTATACTTCACAAATTGCTATGAAGACAAACCACAACAGTACCCTGGATGTCTTTGGAACAGCCCAGGAAAGGGTGGGGTTTGTTGTTTCTTCTTGTTTGGATTTTTTTAACTTTGTATCACAGAATATAGAGAAAGGGTATGAAAAGAAATTGGTGACATAAAATGCTCATAACTGTTCAAAGTAAAAATGGATCTTTCAGGAAATTGTTAGGGTTTATTCGTATTTGAATCTCAATTCCCTCTAATTTCTCAATCTCTTTTCTTCCTACCTGACTAACCGTAACATACAACTTCTAGTCTGGACTTGGCACAAAATCCTATTCAAGTAGATTACATGCACTGACCCAGTCTCCAATTCACATCCATGATCCCTAAACTTGCCCTTAATACTGTTTAATCCCTATTTTGTTGGATCCCCAAATCCCCTCTATTATCTCTCATAACTATCTCTTACCACACTCCTGCAATCCTTCAATCTCCATAAAACTCTTTCATGTATTTAACAAACATAAAAGTGAAGACTCTAAATGTTAAACACATGTAGGAAGGGAGCAGTAGAGTGGCCAGGGAAGACACACATTCCCCCCACCTGAACAAAACCAGAACAAAGGAAAAACAGCTAAACCACAGTTTGAGTTGCAAGACTGTCACTGAAAGCATATTGTTCAAAAATAGACCAAATTAAACTCGAGCAACACTATGATACCTATAGTAACAGCAATGCAAAATACTGCTTTTGACTTTCAGAACATGGATTCAGTTTAGAAGTGGTTACTCAGAATAAGCGTGCAGTTAAGCATATTTAAATCTTTCAGGTGGACCAAATGTGTCTTAACAAAATGTGCTGCAAGTAATCACTCAGCCATTTTGTTTTTACTGACTATATTTATGCTAAACTACATCTAAAGGCATTTTCTCATTAAAGTGTCAATAACATTTGTCAAAAAAGAAAAGCCTTTACAGACATTTGCCTTGCTCAACTAAAAATGAACCTTCTTAAATCATTGCTTCTAGATACCACCACTACCAAGAAACTTACAGCTGAATCAACTACTTGTCATACACAAACTTTTCACCTCCTTCCCATGAGTACCTTAAGAACTTGCAGAAGCAGCACAGCATCTTTACTGTGGCCAAATACATGCTAATTAACACCTAGCTTCAGGTATATCCAGATACAAATTACTTTGATTTTAAGGAAGGAAAATTCTATGTTTTAGAACTTCTGCATTCATGTAACGTGTTAACGTATGCCTAGATGAAAGGAAATTTTTTAATTGTACCAACTCCCTGGGACAACTTCTAATTCCAGCACTTTCTCTAATTTTAGCATGGAATTGTAATGCATTGCATTGATCTCCTGTCCTAGCAAATGAATGTTTCATCTATAACATACATATTCCAGGGAAGAGTAATAACATGTTCACAACATGCACACCCCACACATACCAAGCACGCTCACAGAAAAATAATAAAATGTTAATTCTCAGCATTCAACAAACACACTGTCGCAGTGAATTGTTATGGTATTTGGTAGACAAGAGTTTTTAGTTTTTCAAGGTATCATTTTGACTGGTAACACATGTTTGCAAGTGAAAATAGTTCTGAATTACTCTAACATCATGCATGGGCACTTACTGCAGCACAGAAAATTGCATGAGCACTTACTGCAGTGCATAAAATTGCAGGTATTTTGCTCAGTGCAAACATTTAAACATAATTAAGAGCAGCATTCTAGCACAGACAAGGCAGAATTATTTGAGCCTTCTCTCTGAAAAGGTACACCAAAATGCTCATAAACACATTCCTTTCACAGTATAACACAAATGAAAATGAATGGCAAATTAGCCTGTAAACTGAAACTAAATATGAAACCTTCATCTCATAAAAGTAATTTCTTGTCAGTGTTTGAGCTCTTGAGGCAAAGTTTCTTCACAGAAGCTATGAAGTAAGAGTTGCTTGGCTCAGACTCCACTATACTTTACACCAAAGTGTGGCAATTAGGAGCTATTAAATCTCTCCCTACAGCAACAGGTCATGTCTAAGTCTGCAATCTAGAACAACTTTTTCCTCTCAACCCAACAGTCAATGGGAAAGCATTTTTTATATTCATTCAAAGTGAAAAAGAAACTACATGATGTGACTTCATTAAAAAGACACAAAAAAGATGCCTGGATATTTTTTATCAGATTAGAGCAATGGCTCAGGCTTCTGCATCTGGTCTTCAACTTCCCCTGGACAAACTAGAGGAAGGAAAAGTTCACTACTAGTTTCACAGTAGCAAACTGTGCGAGGTATGTGCATGAGGTGATAGAGGCAGGCAGAAAAGACTTACTGTAACACAGGGAAGATGCTGATGCAAAGCATGCCCATCTTCAAGCACTCTTAGAGGGCATTACACACATTTTGCTCAGGGTCATCTAATGACGATATTCAGAATTTTCATGAAAGCTTCTGAAGACCACATTCTTTAAAGACATGCACAACAAACCTTAGTTGTTTACTCTGAGAAACTCCACAGTCTTCCCTGTATGCAAAGTCTGCTTGGGGTCTGAAATCTAAACTAAACTTTCTGCCCCCCTGAATCTTAAGAGTGACTGCCAGAAACTGGTTCGCATGATACAGATCATAATTTTAGCTACCATGCAACTGAAATAAACTGGTACCATCAAGGCAGAAATTCAAGAAGTTAAATAACTAATTGTTAACTCAGTTAACCATTAAACTGTACAAAAGTAAGCACTACATCACGCAGCCTTCCTGACTCTGCACTATTAACATGATTAAAGACTTTCTCCAGGGAAGAAGTCAGAAGTAGTCTGTTAAAAAGGTATCATTTTTATTTAGGAATAGACTTGCAAGAAGGATACATATAGACACACTATTTAAGGCTACTTAAACTCTTGTTTGGGGTTACTTTTAGAAGTAATAAACACGCAGAAACCGTCATCATGTAGAACCACCCTTGCCAGTATGAAATGAGGACACTTGCTTGGAATTGAGGGGACTTGAAATGCAATGACTTCTCTTTCAGGCATTATTCACATATGAAAACGGTGGTGCTAAGACATTAAGAATCAAGAAACTTCAGTTTGGGGTTTTTTTCTGAACTAATCCAGATTCCACATTTAACAATCAGGCAAGGCAGAAGTGTTAGACTGCACAGCCAGTACCACACAAAAGAATCTAGTCACTCTTCCTTTTTCTGAGGAAGAAGCCTAAAATGTTGAGTGAAAAAGGACAGTGCTAAAACTAGCTTAATTCTTAAATTTAGTACTTAAGTTTAGTATTTTTACCTGTGACTGATCAACTTGAAGCAATCCATCCCAACTTCTGCTTAACCAATCTTTT